TGCTGCGGGGGGGGGGGGGGGGGGGGGGGGGTTGGTGTTTACACGGGAGATGTGAATCTTGGCACGTGATCGAACTCACATATTTCGTCTTTGTAGTTTTTTTTTTTTTTTTTACACAAGTAATTGTATGAAGTGGATTTATTTTCAAGGAGACTCTCTTTATCTTTAGCAATAACCCAAAGACGTTTTGTTGCATCTGTTTCGTATAATATAAAAAAAATAATTAAAAAATCAACAAGGATTAACAGTTCTTCATCGTTACCTATTTCGATAGTACATCATTTAAGCCATTACCGTTGCAAAGGGATAGAACAGGTGTTGTTTGACTAAAGAAATAGTAGAACATGGTCTTTGGAAGCTGGAACTATAACGACAGGACGATGCAAAGAGAACGTTTCGGCTAATAGACTTCTTCAGCAGACAGGACAAATGATGGGACAAGAATAAATAGATCACAAATCAACCTCTAACTCAACTCCCCCCACTTCATGTCACGCAAGTAGCCCCTATATACTGTTTACATTATCCGCCAGGAATCTCGGTTATATTCTGTCTAACAACATGTCTATCGATAAACATATCTCTCACATATGTCGCTCCGCATACACCGCTTTTCGTCAGATCAGCTCCATCCGCCAATCCCTCACAGTTAGGTACCACAAATCCTAGTCTGTGCTTTAGTTCTCTCTCGTCTTGACTATTGTTACTCTCTTCTATCAGGTTCACCAAAAACACTTCTTAGAAAAATTACTAAAGGTTCAAAATTCAACTTCTAGGCTAATTCTAAAGGCAAAAAAAAAAAAACCACGTGATCACGTCACACCACTACTTCATTCACATCATCGGCTCCCTGTACAAGCACGGATTGACTACTAACTCTCTGTTCTCTGCAACAACTTTTTCTTGAATTCCTCCCCTTCATATCTAACCGAACTTCTCTCTGTCTATTCACCCTTTCGACAGCTTCGCTTCTCCGCAGACACACGTATTCTTTCTGTCCCCAAGAATTCGCACAAAAAACATACGGTGTACGATAGTTCTCTTTCTGTGCCCCCAAGCAACGGAATTCTCTTCCATTACACATCCGCAATATACCGATAATCACAGCCTTCAAAACTGCACTCGAAACACACCTTTTTAAACTACTATCCTGACTGATTCCCACCTCTGATCGAAAAACGATTCAGTGGGGTGTCGCCCATGGCTTGACATGTAAATAGTTTTAAATATAAATTTTTCACTAGTGAAATAATTTAGTGTGGATGTCTCGTGTTCAAATTGTTCTATTTATGTGCTGAAAATGTACAATGTCATCAAAAAACATATCCATTTGTTTGGATCAGTAAAGGAATCGTATCTAATCTTATCTTATCTTATCTTATTTGTTTTGTTTTTTTTAGTTAATGAACGTTAATTAATTTTTATAGTTTTTGATTATGTTTGTTAAATTGTATGTACAGCGTGGTGAGCCATGCCCTAGGGTGGGGAACCACGCTACATAAAACCACTTATAATAATAATTATAATAATAAAACAGTTTTTAAAAAAAATGTATTATTACTTGACTATAAAGGTTTTGTTCATAAAGTTATATGAGTCAGGCTAAATAGTTAAAAATACACTCATAATTCTTCTTAAAAATAAAATAGTCCGTTCAAAACATTGATCGTTGTAAAGCAGTGCAACAGATATTTGTAAATATATTGGTCATTTAGTTAGAGCGCATCGACCCACATGATTATATAATAAATACTTTTCACAAGGAAAAACTATATTTGATATCTTTTCGCAAAAATTAAGTTTGATCGCATGAAACAAATGGCATCAAATTATCCTCACTTAATATGCTCATTTAAATACAGTGTGCAAATCTCGAAGTAAAACAGGAATGTTCTTTGTTTGCGTTCATGGTGGGACCGTAGAGAAACATAAGTACCTTTTTTTATATACACTGAGACGTCTGACAATGAAATGATTTTTATGAACACTGAAGTTTAATTAGTCAGGTTACTGTAGCAATTTATATGCCAAAAACAATCAGGGACTGGAGCAAGCTTCCAATAGGAACAGTTGAGGCGACAACACTTGACACATTTTCGTCTATTGCTTAAGGCCTTCCAAACCAACAGTTCCCGATACCCTCGATGAGTAGCCCTTGCAGAAATATCCTCCTAAATACCAGGCACAGAAACATTGCAAATCCCTCTACATACATAGGAGCCACAATGATCAATACATTGATTGTGGTCTCTTAATATATATAAGAAGAAGACGATCCATGCAGCTATTTCTATGCATTGAACAGTACGCAGCACTCACATGCGCATGACTGTCTTTTGATCGGGAAACCCCCACAAATCTTAAAAAAAGGAAATAACGTTTTCTTAAGATAACACCATAGTTTACTTCATAGTGACACGCTAAGAAACATTCTCTAAAATGAAATGATGTGTGGTATATTAAGTCGGCAATTTAATTTTAAAGAAAAAACAACATTTTACGTACTCACTGATCGGTTCCATCTTTGTGGACATGATTGAATGGTTTATTAGAAGACACAAACACTGCACCGTGGATTAGCCAGGACAAAAATGTTACAACACGGGCGGTCGTTGCTTTTTGTAACATTGGCCGGAATATTTACAGGTAACATTGACCGATGTACTTTCAGGTAGTATTGGCCGATATACTTTGAGGTAATATTGGCAGGTAAACTTTCATTTAGTATTGGCCGATATACTTTGAGGTAATATTGGCAGGTAAACGTTCATTTAATATTGGCCGATATACTTTGCCTCTGTTCGTCAAAAAAATGTTGTTTATTGTATTATTTGCATAACAATGATTTATTATTAAAGCCAAAAACTTAATTGAAATGCGTTGCAAATTTCAAAGCTTTAACTTTGCTGAATAAAAAGTTATGACATTTTGAGTGTCAAGGATGTCTTTTTTCGGTCACAGAATTTTGGAAAATATTTACTAAGGCTATATAAGGAAAAATTCTGACACTAAAAATGCGATAACTTTTGTTCTACTTAAGATATAAAGATAAAATAGGTATCAATGGAAAGGAAATACTGAGTCCTTTCTAATGATATAAGTTTCATTAATATATAACAACTTTGAAATTTTTAGTGTAGTACCTAATATTGGCCGGTATACTTTCAGGTAATATTTGCTGGTAAACTTTCAGGTAATATCAAATTCAATATTTAAAAGTATTCATTTTTTTTTTAAATTTAAAATGTTAAAATTGGGCGTGGTGTAGCACAATAGGATGGATCAGCAAGATCGTTTTTTTAACAACTTTTTTAGGCGAGTGTCGTTGGCAACAACCAATGCATAGCAGAGAATCGTGTCGAAAATTAGGAGTAACTTTTTGGAATATTCGGAATTATCTTTAATATTCTGATTAGAAATTTATGTAAAAAAAACAACAAAAATCTATAATAAAAGCATGTACCGCTAAACATACTTTTGCCCATTCCACCGCAACTAGAGGTCGTGTTCGGCGATACCATGATATCCAAGCCAGGCAGCTCGGATGCCGCATGCGCCAGGTCGGTCATCAAGGAGAGGGAGATTGTCTGCCGGTACCACAATCACGATGAAGAAATGAACGTGTGTGTTATGCCAGGAGGCCAAGACACGATCCTACCCAACATGAAAGTAGCGGATAAACAAGGTAAGTGAGGATGTGTGTACCCTGTCAGGAAGCCGAGACATGACCTTACCCTACATTGAAAGTAGTGGATAAACAAGGTAAGCGAGGATGCGTGTACCTTGCCAGAAGGCCGAGACATGACCTTACCCTACATGAGAGAAATGGATAAGTACGTATGTTGTGAGCCTAACTTACTTTATCATCGAAAAAAAACAATTTCGTCCCTAATAGGATATCCATGAACCGAATGAGTTCTCTGCCCCAGTGTGTTGAAGACTCCAGTTTTCAAACAGGAGCAGCACAATCCGAGTCACGGGTTGGCAATTTGCGTCACGCGTGCGGGAAATGACACGCTGCAGCAATTATCAATGCCCTAGCGGAAGACCAACGAAACAAACAATGATAGTTATTTTTAAACCTTTAGAGGTGCGAGTAAATTGTGATACCTGTTGTGTATAAAAACGTTAGAGCGTTAAAAATAATGGTGTCAATGTTTTGTCAATGTTTACAAATATCAGTATTTCCATCATCAAGATACTTTCGGTTGCTATTTTTTTTCTTTTTTTAATGTTTTTCGACTTCATAGCTAATCGTTCTAAATTTCAGAAAGTACCAACCCCCACCTATAACAAACCTCTCCAAAACAACCACTCATACACAAACCTGCCAAAACACCAACCTCCCCAAACATCACCCTCCCAAAACAACATCCTTCCCAAAACATCCTCCCCAAACACCAACCTCCCCATTACCATCTTCCCCAAACACCATTCTCCCAAAACACCAACCTTCCCAAACACCATCCTCCAAAAACACCATTCACCCCAACATCAAGTTCCCCAAAACCACCTTCCCTAACCAACCACCTCCCCAAACACAAACCTCCCCAAAACCCAACCTCCCCAAACATCACCATTCCCATAGAGAAAGCTCCCCAAACACGAACCTTCCCAAACACTAACCTCCCCAAACATCACACTACTCAAATACAACCCCCAAACACCATCTCCCCAAACACCATCCTTCCCAAACACCATCTTCCACAAACACAAACCACCCCAAACACATCCTTCCCAAACACCACACTTCCCAAACACTTACCCTCTCCTAATCGACCAACCCAAACAGAACCCTCCCAAATGCAATCCTTACCCAAACACAAAACTCCCCAAACATCAGCCTCCTCTAAAACATCACCCTCCTCTAAAACATCACCCTCCTCTAAAACATCACCCTCCTCTAAAACATCAGCCTCCTCTAAAACATCAGCCTCCTCTAAAACATCAGCCTCCTCTAAAACATCACCCTCCTCTAAAACATCACCCTCCTCTAAAAC